GGCGGGGGGAGCGGGCGCGGCGGTGGACGATGTTCCACGGGCAGCTGCTGGCGTGGCGGGGCCACGGGAGCTGCCGCCGCGTGCCACCAGCTGTTGACACTGCTGGGACCGGCCTGGCTTGTATTGTGCCTGGTGGCCTTCTCCTCCTGTATTTATGATGCCATCAAACGTTGAGCAATGACGTCCGTCAATGTCGAGACACTGTGCGCTGAGGTTGATTTGGTTTTTCTTCCTGACGTGGACACCTGCGGATTGTACGCCTCACCACTGGCCCTGCCCGGGCGCAGGTGACCCCTGCCTGCTGGCGCTCGCTTCTACTCTGTCACGGCGGCAACCCCACACTGCCTGCAGAACTCTGGCACACACTGGGCATACCTTGTGCGCACGCGTCTAGAGGCCGCAGCAGAGTGATGTGCCCCTGCTGCGCACGCCCAGCAGCCGGGTGCGATTGGCGCATGTGTCAGCGTAGTGAATCGCCGTCGTTCTTGCCGTATTGCTTACCGATTAGGCGCCTGTTGAGAATTGGTATTGAGCACCGTATTTTCCCTTTCTTACCGTCAGCCAGCTGGGCCCCAACACAAGCAGGGGGGCGTGTTTATATGCAGCACACTTGCCATGTGTCTGTGCAGCACGCTTATGCCTGCTCAATTATGAGTGCGAATAGGAGCCACGCCGCCCCCGTTACTTTGATCTACCTTGTCTTGTCGAGCATTGGCTGAGGAGGGATGGCTGACCCTGACGGGTTACTAATGCCCCGGCCCATGCATGCGTTCGCTCTGCCCCGCCCGTACTCTGACCAGCTTTTGCGCGGCAGCTCTTCAAGTAATGCCATACAACCAGCAGCTCCTATGCTGACCACGGACCCGGGTTGTAATCACATTCAACAGCCGGAAGGCGTGCAGGGGATGAGCGCCCTGGCTGCAGTTGATGTGTGCAAGCATCGACCAGGCACGGTGGCTGGCAGGGTTGCCTGGGACCTTGTCGCACGCAATAATGCTGGGGGTACGGGTGCTAGCATGCACTTGGCCGGCCAGAATTGCAGGCCCTACATACCCGAAAAGAGGTTGCGCTTCGTTGCACGGCGTGCGTTGAGCAGTGGCGGTCTCTTGCACTAATGCACTGCAGTTCTTGAGCGCAGCGCCGGCCCCAGATGGGTTGGACACGCTTTCAGGTGACCCAGTCAGAAGCAGCCCGTACTGCCAGGGTTTACCCTAGGCGCTCCTCATCAAGTCAAGGTGTGGACCGCAAATAAAGAGGCCCAAGGACCCTGCTGAGCAGCTGGGCCGCCAGCTGAGGGGGAGCTCCCTCCCTCAGCAAGGACGGGACAAGGAGCAGACGAGGACCATTTCGAGAGCAACTGCACATTTCCCTGCCGAGATCAGACAGCACAGTTTGGGTGCGCCTTCAAGCTGGGCGAGGTGCGTGGCAACGCCAGCATACCAGTTGGTGGGCGCATGAAAGCATGGTGGTGTCACACCGAGGCACGCCCTCACCACTCCACAGCTGAGACATTGAATAATGCCGACTGCTGCATGGGAGGCGGGTTGCTTCACAGCCAGCTGGGCGTCCGAGCAAGGCCTTTGCTTGCTGGCTCGTATCAGGCTTTGCGCGTTGTCTGGATGATGGTGACTGCTCAGGTCCAATGGACTTTTGCTGCGACGAGTTGGGGGGGGGGGGGACGGGCTTCCCACCCTGCATCCGGCAGATGTTTCTGGGTATCTGGCCATGTGCCTACTGGCCGAGGCCGCGGAGGGAAACAACGCAGGAGAGCGAGGGGAAACGTTCGAAGAGAAATGGTTCTTGTGGCGAGGTGCCTCCACTAGTGGCACTGGCTCTGTTGAACCCCAAGTGCGTGTGAACCACCATCAGCGCCTGCAAGCCGTCGAGGGGACAATGTCGATAGCGAGCGCGCTGAAGATACCCCACGCAACGTGCTGTGCATTCGAACGCGCACATGCTACAGGGCCACGGCGGCAGCCCCACCAGCGGCGTGCCAGGCCCCGTAGCAGCTAGGAAGGTGACACGGGTCTGGCGGGGTTGATTGAGCCTGGCCAGAACGGAGCCAGCGGGAGCACGTCATCTCTTAGTCACCCATAGTAGTGCTTTGGACGCGAGTGGCGCAAGCGCGCGCGCCAGGCAATTTTGCCATCAGGATTGCCAGCACACAAGCGGCTCGCTGTAGGGCGCACTCGCCAGCGCTCGGGCTGGTGAAGTGACTCACAGTGACCTTTGGCCGCCACATGAGGCAGGAACCCGTGCAATCCGCAGCAGCACGTGCATGATTGGCGTATGATGCTTCACAGAGATTTGTAATATGAGATGACTTTAACAGCGGTGCGTACAGACCGGTATCCCATCTTCGTTGCAAGCGTCGCCCTTCCGAGCCCGTGTGATGGATGGGAGCAAGCAATGCCACTTTTCTTAAGAATCCTCTTGAGTATCTTTTTTTTTGGCAGCGCGATCCGTGCCGACGGGACTGGTGGTAGCGCTGCCGGCGCGAACCTTGGGCCCTGCACACTGGGCGCCGCTGACAACGGAACGTGGCGCCTGCAGCAGCGCGCCTGCAGCCTGACCGGTGCACCGTTGCAACCTGCGGCGCACAAACAAATAGATTTGGCCCGCCTTGCGGTCGTCGGCGCCACGCCGGCGGCGGCTGACGCGTCAGCGGCGGGAACCACCGTCTGGAGTGTGGACGCCTCCGGCGGCAGCCCGCGCAGCTTGGTGCTTTTCTCGGACACAGGTGAGCTTGAGCCTCGCATCAGGAAAATGTGTCAATTCCTGTGCCGGAAATCGGCGTGCGTTGACGCGATGGTGTGGCCACGTTTGGTCAGGTCTCCCCCACCCTCGCTCGCCGCAGGCGCACCCACCCGCCTGGACTTTCGGGACATCACCTGTGCCGGCTGCCTAGACCCCGCCGCGCCGTCGCCGCAGCAGCTGCTGCTGCCCCTCGCGCTGCTCAGGGGCGCGGCCGGCGGCGCGTCGCCGGCGGCGGTCGGCCTCAGCAATGTGCGCGTGGCCGGCGGCGGGGTGGAGCCAGCGCTGGGGGCGGCGCTGTTTGAGCGCATGCTCGGCTCCCAGGCACTGCGCGACCTGCTGGCTGGCTGGTCACTGGCCGTCTACAGCGTGAGTGGGTGCAAGGGGCCTAGTTTGAGGGCAGGTTCAGGGGCAGGGCAGACGTAGCC